ATATAAAACTTATATATATAAATGGATTTTGGGATTCTGACTGTGACAGCACTGTGGTACACAACCTCACCTTACAGCTTAGTTTTTCTATATTTCTATTTAATTCTTTTTCTTCTGTCGGCTGATAACAAGGCTAATGGCAGTCAGACGTGAGTTGAGAGTGGAGTTCGGAGGTCCTACAGTGGCTTGAAGGAGGATCAATGTCTGAGTTTGAAAGACTGCGGCCTCTCGTCTCATTTACACCCCTTACCCTGCCAACTCATTATGATCTTAATTAGTCTCTCTCTTCTCTCTAATTAACAATAAAGAGCTCGCCAGCCCTCACGGCAGAGTTCAGATCCAGCCTGGCGCTGGTTGCTGGAGAAGCAGGATTCATTCCTTCAGCCTTTCAGTTTTGGATTTGGGTTTCCACTGTTTTCTTATTTCCTCAAGTCAACATGGAATCAAAACTGACCCTATTTGCTTTCCTAATACAAGTTCCTGGTCTTTTTGTGTATGTTTCATCAGTACAGATTATTCCTGTAAAGATGTTTGTTTAATTTATTTCATAATCTTTAGCTATTAGACACTGTTTTAAGCTACTAAAATACCTCGACATGTTCTGGAAGGTGAATCTGACCTTTAACTTCCACATCCCAATCAAAAATCATCTTCTCAAAAATGGGTTTCACTATAAATCTGTGCTTTCATTTAGAATTACATCACATTACAGAACTAAAATAGAAAATACAATTAAAATGCGGTTACATATTTATTTAAAGAGGCCATATGTTATTCTTTTGTACACTTTTTGTAGTCACAAATTAATTTCTTCTATAGTACAACTTCAAAAGTCTGGGGTCAGTAAGATTATTATTATTATTATTTTTAATTAAATTTTTTTTTTTAAAGAAATTGATACTTGTATTCAGCAAGGATGCATTAAATTGATCAAAAGTGACAGTGAAGACATTTACAATGTTACAAAAGATTTGTTTCAAATAAATTCTCTACTTCTGAACTATATTTTCATCGTAAAATCACAGTTTCCAAAAAAAAATATGAAGCAGCACAACTGTTTTCAACATTGATAATAATCATAAATGTTTTTTTAGCAGCAAACCAATCATATTAGAATGATTTCTGAAGGATCATGTGACACTGAAGACTGGAGTAATGATACTGAAAATACAGCTTTGCTATCACAGGAATAAATTACATTTAGAATTTTTTTCCATTTAAAACATTTACATTTAAATTAAATTAATGAACACATAGTTGTGACATCACAACCAGTTTTTTACATTCTGGTAAATACTAGCCTTGAGAGAAAGTTTTGCTGTTTGAAACTTTCACCTTTTTTTAACCTCTTTTCAAAGCTAGGTTGTGCGGTTTGTATATGTTTAGAGGACTGTGGTGCAACAAACTCAACACTGCAAGCACATAATTCAGCTACTCTTGCGGTGTAGACGTGGTATTAGACTGTCAGCACACTAAAACCCTCTCTGAGAGGATGCATCTCTAAATTCATCCCTTTAAAGCTGCGCTGCTACAGCCATCAAAGCAGCGCTTTTGAAACAAATTCACCACCTTCAAGAATAAACACAATTACTGTCAGACTTCAGATCACCTGTCGTGAGTGATGCTCCCGTTATTATGCACAATCCACAGCTCTCAGTTTATTTACAAAGACTATGATAGTTCTGTGCAATAGAAGATTATAGTTAATTATTTGTTTGTTATAGTTATTTAGCCTGTTTATTTGTTCAGTATCTGTCAGATGCCCTATTTAATGTGCAGTTGACGTCTGCTGTTCAAAAGTTTGAGGTTAGTACATTTTAGTTTTTGCTTTGATTTAATTCTTTTTTTCAAATAAATGCTGTTCTTTTGAACTTTCGTGAATCAAAGAATCCTGAAATTTTTTTTAACACATTTCCACAAAAATATTAGTTTTTTATATTCAAGCAGAAAATTCTGGTTTGTACGGAGCCCCTAAAGGGACCTTTGCAAAAATAAAAAATACACAGACTTTTGCGTGCGCATGAGAAACATTTTGCGAGCTCACACGTTACAGTTTCCGGTTGCATCACTCTCTGCCGTCTTACAACGAAGAAAACAAAAGCATGGAATGCTAATATAAAATACCTACACTGGAAATTGAAACAGAAAATTTCTCATGAGCACGCAAAATGTTTCTCGGATGTTTCTTGTGCGCACGCAAAATGTTTCTCGGATGTTTCTCATGCGCACGCAAAAGTTTCTCGTGAGCACGCAAAATGTTTCTCGAATGTTTCTCGTGCGCACGCTAAAGTTTCATGAGCACGCAAAATGTTTCTCGTGCGCACGCAAAAGTTTCATGAGCACGCAAAATGTTTCTCGAATGTTTCTCGTGCGCACGCGAAAGTTTCTCGTGTGCACGTGATAGTCTGTGTATTTTTTATTTTTGCAAAGGTCCCTTAAAGGTACAATAGGAGATCTTGGAAAATGCTAACTTTAGCCTGATAGCACTAAAAGCGAACCTCCCACCCTTCTTGCAATCGCCGTCCAAAGCCACGCCCCCTGAACGCATTTATGCTCACAGACCAGAGACAACATTACTACAATAGGCTACATCAGGTTCCCAATTCCAGCCCATGTTGAGGCTCCATAGTTTTGCACCACAGGAATAATTAAAATTTTTAAATATATTCAAATAGATAACAGTTATTTTAAATTGTAATAATATTTCACAATATTACTGTTTTTACTGTATTTTAGATCAATTAAATGCAGCTTTGCTGAGCAAAAGTATGGAAGCCAGTGTCCGCCATGGAATTAAAAAAATTTAAAACTGTAAATTTGACTTTTTATCTCACATTTCATGCAATTCTGAGTTTATATTACACAATTCTGAGAATTGTGATAAAAAATAAATTTATCAGAATTGCGAGTAAAAAAAAGTTGGGAGATTGGGAGATAAAAAGTTGCAATTACCTTTTTTATTTGAAAATATATATTATGGTCTCTATTCAGACCTTATAGGATCTGATTCGACAGAAAATACAAATGACTTGACCGGCAGCAAATAAACATCTTTTCCAGTCCTTTATGAGGAACGGAGACCAGGGTTTCTCCATCTCATGTGACCCACTGGATGCCCTCAAACCTTCTGACATTCTCCACATCCCAGTGGATACTGTGTCCTTTAGATCTCATTGACCGGATGAGGTATCGACTGTAGTACTTCAATAATGGATTGCACTTAGCAAATACAGCTGTTGAACTGTGGCAGGAAAAGGTCTTTAGCTCACACGGCACATATACTGTAGTGCATATCAAATGTGGTGATTTCATCTGTTCTGCAGGCCTGGCGAAAGGTATCGCAACCGTGTTATAAAGCTTTGAAAAATATGTGCTGGTTTTAAATGAATCTGATGTTAACATGCTTATGAAGATAAATGTTTTAGTAACACTTTACAGTCAGGTCCAGCTAACATTAGTTAATTCCTAACATGAATTAAAAATTATAATTGTTCTTTGTTAGTTCATGTTAGGACCATTAACAGATTTTGATTTTAATAACGTATTGGTAAATGTTGAAATTGACTCATTATATCACTAACTTCACTATATTTCCCCAACAGAATGTTTCCTTGTTATTCAAGGTACTCGAGTCTTTGTAAAGTCTGCTTGTGTAAAGTCTTCTTCTCTTGAGGTTAAACGCATGAAATAACATCATTTAGATTCCACTGGCGGGTGTAAGATTCTGCATGTCTCCTGAGGGCAAATGACTTTTCTGGAGTTTCGTCGTGTAAATGGGGCGGCTGTTATTCAGAATGATAAAACCAAATTCATTCAGTCAACCACTGAATGCCTGCAATTAAAAGCAAAATGAAATGTGGTTTGCAAAGCATTTAATGTGAATTATTTCAAAATGGAACAAGATGTTCAACAAGAAAGATACAATGGGCTGGATTTTGTTGTGCTTTGCTTCAAGACCCATGAAACCGGACATTGAGATTTTTTTATGGATGAGGTCATATCATGCAGGATGTCTAATTAGATTTTCTTTCCAGAAATGCAAGCTTGATTATATAATACATTATATTAAATATAATAAATTTAAATGTAATATAATATTTAAAATATATATAGTTAAAGAATATTTAAATAATATAATTAAATATATAGATTTAATAATATTTGATATAACAATTAGCTTTTTTTATTAGTATTTTAGTTTCTTGATTATTTTATTTATTTTTTTATTTTTTCATTGTAAACAACAATCCAAGCTTGATGATATAATATATTATATTAAATATATTTAATAATACAGTATATTGTATTTAAACATATATTTAATAAATATATAGATAGATGGATAGATAGAGTAGCTTTTTTTGCATTGTGTCTTGCAACCCAATTCTAACAATCAAAAACACAAATTGCTGACTGCAAGGATGTGAGTGTACATGTTTGATGAATCGAACAGCTGATTTGCCAACTTTACCCAGCAAACTGGCAAAAAGGTCTACACCATAATGAAGTGCACCAGTTAGCTTTCGTCACGGTGTTGGACAAAAGGTCAAAATAAACGAGAAGTGTTGTCGAAAAAGTACCACAATAGCTGTTACTTTCCGAACAACATTAGAGGACTCCAGAGGTTGCCAAAAACAGCAGGTAATTTGCTCTGTAATTTTTACACAGGCTGTGTGAGAAATACACAGACGTGTTAAAATTTGGATGGGATTGAAATCACAAAGTGCAGCTGGGAAACAAATTGACCTGATCTAGAGAACTAGTCCTGTCCAAATAGGGCAGAGAAGGGGTGGAAATGAGCATGGTGTCGTCATCCGAAAACAAAAGTCATTTCACAGAGTTAGCTAATAAAGCCTTCTGTGAATATCAGGAGAAACAAACTTTTTACAGTAGCTGACATATTCTAACAATGAAAAATACTTTTACAGCATTTATTCTTCTTGGTTATTTTCTACTTTTTTTTTTTTTACCAATTTTTTTTTATACTTTTGTTCAGCAAGGATGCATTTAAATTGATTAAAAGTGACAAAAGCAGGATTTCTGTTTCAAATAAATTTTGTTCATTTGAACTTGAAAATAAAAAAAAGTATGACAGTTTCATCAAAAATATGAAGCAGCACAACTTTTTTTCAACATTGATAATAATGATAAATGCAGCAAATCAGCATATTAGAATGATTTCTGGAGAATCATGTTACACTGAAGAACGGAGTAATGATGCTGAAAATTCAGCTTTGCATCACAGGAATAAATTACATTTTAAAATATATTCAAATAGAAAATGGTTATTTTAAATTGTAATAATATTTCACAATATTACTGTTTGTACTGTACTTTTAATCAAATAAATGCAGCCTTAGTGAACAGAAGTTTTTCTTTCAAAAACTTTAATCTTACTGACTGCAAAGTTTTAAACGGTAGTGCATGCTAATACATTTTTATATTTTCAAGTTGCATTAATAACATTGATATAAGAATGAGCATGAACTAAAAATCAATAGTATACTTATATGTTAACATTAAGATTTTGCCATAATTGCTGTTCATTGTTGGTTCTTGACAACTAATACCAGAAACAGGCATTATGAAAGTAAATATGGTCAATTATGATTTGTGTTAAACATATTAAGTTTTTTCTTTTTGTGTCTCTGCCAAAATATCTGATTGCGGCCTGATTATTTTTTTTATCCTGTTTTCCGGCCTCTCGTCGTTCACATATTCTTTTGGCCCTTTATGCTAAATCTAGTTCCCACAAAGCTTTTATCTCAGATGATCGGCAGTTTGTGTCTTTTCTCTGTTAAATATTAACGTGGCCGTTTCTGACCCTCCGATCTCAAGTTCTGAGAGAAAAGTTTTTTGTTTTTTTTATGTGACTTTTTCAAACATCGCTCACAGCGCAAATGTAACATCCCGTAGAGATGTCTACAAAGACAACCGTGAGCGAGTGAACCGGATGGGGACAAGAAAAGAGCGAGTGCGTTTCAAAGCGAGCGTTTGACTGTCGGTGCATTGTTGGGAGTCTGAGGCAAGGACACGTCAGCGTGTGTCCTTTTTTAAAGCCTTGCTCTCCTGCTTTTATCAGAAATCTCTCAGAGAGCAAGAGATCTGGATTCACTTCTTGGCTGTCATTGCAATCGACAGTTTTTTTGCAATGAAAAAAGCTGAATGTGCATTAGCAGGAGGCTTCCTGACAGTTGTGTTTCTGAGGCGGTGGACAGGTTTTCTCCAGTAAATAACCTCTAAATTCCTTATAATTCTTTCTTTAGGCTTGTTTATGAATACATTTTCTAATGTAGAGCTGCAGACAAACTAATCATTAATTTCCCATAAGCCTTGTCTATACAGTATATATATATATATATATATATATATATATATATAAAAAATTAACTTAAATGATTTTAGCAAATGGCTGCAATATAACAAAGAGTGAAAAATTTAAGGGGGTCTGAATACTTTCCGTACCCACTGTATATATATATACATATATACATACACTACCGTTCAAAAGTTTGGGATTAGAACGATTTTTAATGTTTTTTAAAGGAGTTTCTTATGCTCATCAAGGCTGCATTTATTTGATCAAAAATATAGGAAAAATTTTTTTATATTGTGACATATTATTACGATGTAAAATAAAATTTTTCTATTTTAATATACATTCAGTTCAAAAGTTTGGGGTCAGTAAATTTTTATGCTTTTTTTTTTAAAAGAAATATTAACTTTTATTCAGCAAGGATGTGTTAAACGGATAAGAAGTGATAGCAAAGATTTATATTGTTAGAAAAGATTTATATTTTGAATAAATGCTGTTCTTTTTAACTTTTTATTCATCAAAGAATCCTGAAAAAAGTATCGCAGTTTCCAAAAAAATATTTGGCAGCACAAATGTTGCCAACATTGATAATTCTAATAATAAATCCGCGTATTAGAATGATTTTTTAAGGATCATGTGACACTTTATACTGGAGTAATGGCTGATGGAAATTCAGCTTTGCATCACAGACATAAATTATATTTTAAAGGATATTAAAATAGAAACCATTATTTTATATTGTAATAACATTTTACAAGATTACTGTTTTTCTGTATTTTTGATCAAATAAATGCAGCCTTGATGAGCATGAGACTTCTTTAAAAAACATTACAAGTCTTACTGATCCCAAACTTTTGAACGGTAGTATATATATATATATATGATAAGTGATTTCAGCTATTTTGCTGACTTAGCAAGTGAACCCCATTTCTCCAAAACCCCGCCCTCCAAAGACAACAGCCAATCCAGTGTCTGCAAACCCAGACTTGCAAAATGATTGACAGGCAGAGGTTATTTCTGATTGGCTTAAAACTTCCAGATTCTTTTTTACTGTTCACAGGGCCTTGTGTTGCCATATAGATGTGTGTGATTTCTCAGGACACCTATTTCAGTGATATCTGCCAGGGACGTTTTATGAGCGATATTCCCTAAAAATCACTTACTTTAATACCCGGTGTAAAACGCTATCAGTCTCAAATGGCAGTTTGTGATGGCATCACCCGAGACAAATGCTAATACAAACGGTAAACAGAGCCCTTGTGTGCGAGTGTGTTATTGAAACACACTCTCTCTCTCTCTTTCTCCAGGTGCTGTTTTTTCTGATGTTGGCCATGCCAGAGGCTTTGAGCAGGGAGGCAGTTGTGGACGTCCCGCTGGCATCATCTCTGCTCTCTCTGCCCTTTTACCTGCTGTGTTTGTTTGGCTCAGCCCTTCACGTGCTGGTCTGCACCTCGTCCGGGGGCCCCTGCTACCTCTGCTCTCTCCCTTGGGTCCTAGTGTTCACCGTCATCCTCTTGTCCTCCGCCTTCACATGTGCTCTGGTTAGCATGGCAGCGAGGAGGATGTCGGCCAGCAACAAGACCCCTGCTAAGGTGAGTGAAAAGGTTTCTGCACCATGAGCATCACCAAATAACCATAACCACAACATTACTCTGAAATAAAGTGCAACCGTTGGGTTCTGGAAGTAAAAACACTGTTTATTTTCTCCATGGGGAAATTGATTTTTTGACGATAACTAATAAACCTTTAAAGACAGACCTGTTGTGAGCTCTGAGGTTGTTAATCAATAGTATATGCTCTTGTTGAAGCCGTTTTGTTGCAGCAAAATGTTTGTGAAATAATAACGTTTAACTGCAGAATTTGTGGTGAAAAACTACATTTCCCATGATGCTGTACAAAAAATTCAACCAATCAAACATTTGCATCACCTGAAGAGCTCTGTCTACTCCAGTGAAGCAAAAAGCTGCGCTTGTAAGAAACCAATCCATCGAGACTTTTAACTTCAAACCATCGCTTCCAGCTAATATATGAGACCATAATCCATAATAACGCTTCATTCAGTGAAAAAGTCTGTGCCCTGTTGTTCTCTAACATCAAAATCCACTCACATCTTTGTTTAGAAATGTTTTACACCATTTTCACTTGTAAAAAGTGCTTGATCTGTGCATATTTCTCTCCTGATTCAGACGAGATGACTTTTTCACTGGAGAAAGCAGTGTTATGGATTATGGGCTTGTATTTTAGCCAGAAGCAATGGTTAGAAGTATAGTGCTGTCAATCGATTAACATTTTTAATCTAAGTAATCGCATATTAATCACACATCAAATCTGGGTGAGAAATTACCCACAAAAGTTAATTTAAAGCCATTATTGTGTTACATGAGAAAAGCATCAAATAGACATTGCAAAAAGATTTAAAAATATATATTTTTTATCTTCTTTTTTCTTTTCTTTTCATTTTCTGTTTTCTTTTTTCTTTTAAATTTTTGGGCAAATTATCCCTTTAAAGGGGTGGTTCACTGGCTTTTTTCTAGGCTTGATTGTGTTTATGGGGTGCAGTCTAACATGTGTTAATGCTTCTATTAATATGTAAATATGAAATTATTTTTAATGAAATGATTTTCTAAATAAGAAAATAAAAATGCCAGTTGTTGGCAGGAAATGTCTTATAGGGGTCATATGATGCTGCTAAAAAGAACATTATTTTGTGTATTTGGTGTAATGAAATGTGTTTATGCGGTTTAAGGTTCAAAAAACACATTATTTTCCA